GGGGGTGTTGTTTTTTGAATCCTGACCCAAGGATATTTTTTTTCATTGCTTTTCAGAGAGAGTGGAAAGGGGAGGGAGAGAGAGAGAAACATCGATGTGAGAAAGACACATCGATTGGTTGCCTCCTGCACATGCCCCGACCAGGGCCGGGGATCGAGCCTGCAACCCAGGTACATGCCCTTGGCCGGAATCGAATCTGGGACCCTTCAGTCCGAGGGCCAACGATCTAACCACTGAGCCAAACCGGCTAGGGCACCGAACTGCCCTATGAAAAGGCAAATCTTTAAAACAAAAAGTAGATTAGTAGTTAGCACGCATGAGGGATCTTACTGGGGTCACAAAAATGTTCTAAAACTAGATTATGGTAATGGTTACACATCTTGGTAAATTTACAAAACATCACTAAATCATACACCTAAAATGAGTGAATTTCATGGTATGTAAATTATACCGTAATAAAGTTGTTCTTAAGTAAAGAAAGCTAGTACTATAATAAATGCAATAAAATCCTGCTAAATCAAATATGACCATTTCTTCTGTCATAATAACTGTATGCTCAACAGAATCTTAACGTTGAACAGAAGAATTATAACCCATACTTACTGAATAGTTACAAACATTATGAAAAATCTTCATGACCCCTGTACATGTAGATATATCTAAGGAGAATATAATGTACGAAAATGAAAACTTTGGAACTGCAATCTTACCACGTAAGGTTTCTGAATAAATTTTCTAGAATTTGATTTTATAACACATTTAGGGTTTTGGAAGCTATCAATATGAGTTGAAAAACTGGAAGGCTGGTCATTCCTAATAAAATGAGAGACAGAAAATAAGAATCTTTTATTAGTTTATCTTTATCCAACAAATAAATAAGAGAAATCAAAGTACCCCCTTCAGAGACCAAGCGGCACAACAGCAAAAATAACCTCAATGATCTATCACTACTAAAATCACAAATGACAATTATCAGGGTTAAAACCCTCATTTTTCAACAAACATTATTCAGCTAAGCAGAAGTTAGCAATAGGGGTAAACCAGTATTCCTTGGACCAGGGTTCTCAATCTGGGATCCAAGGACAGGCAGCCTGAGGGCTGTAACCCCCTGAAATCATACATAGAGTGTGTGTTTTCTGAGGGTAGGTAATAACTGCTCTCAAGCCTTTGGTCGCACTGGACGCTCCCTTGCTGAGACTCTTATTGGTGAAAGCACAGGAGATGAGGTGTGTGATAGGCTCAAAGTCCCCTCATGACAGAGCTGGGGCCTCTGATACTGCTGGGTCCACAGTAGCAAAGGACAGCTTCCCTCCACTGTCGCCACTAGGTCCAGAGGCCAACAAGGGCTCTTCCCAGAGGGAACGCAGCCCTATGTGGGAGGGAGGCCCTTCCCTGGGCTTCTCCTCCATCCCTGGGGCCTCATTCCCATAGCCCTCGGGGAGTCCTCTCCCTGTCCCTCCCACATCTTCCCACAATGCTCCTCAGACCCTTTCTGCTCCACAGTGAACAAACATCTCACCTCCTCAGCCCTGCTTCAGTCCCTCCCACAGGTCCCTGTCCCTCAGTGACATTCGAATAAAATTTACACTCTTCATGATCCCCGAGGCCCTTCTTGCTCAGTCCCTTGCTGCCTCGCCCAGCTGCTTTATTCCAATCTCCCCAGCATGCACACTGAGCTTCAGGAACATTTAACTACATGTAGCTTCTGGCACACACCACAATCTCTCCTGCTTCCGTGAGTTTGCATGTGCACTTCCTTCTGTTGTAATTTCCTTCTTAGAGCAACTTCAAGATTTAGCTCATTTGCAGCCATTCCAGGAAGGCTTTCCCAGACCCCTCTGAGGTGGGCTAGGTACCCCAGCTAAGTGCATACGTAGCACCCAAGGTCTTCACATGGATCACTTGTATTTGTAACTGGGGCACCTGTTTCACCCAGAAAGCTTGGATCCCTTCAGAGGAGGCACTGTGGACAGTTTGTTTTGTGGCCCCAGCTCTGCACCCAGAACCTGACATGAATTAGCCACTCGGGGTTTTTTGAAATGTAAAAAAAAAGACCCTATGTTCTGTCAAAATGCTCATGATACTAATAGTAAGTCAAAAGAGTAGAGTGCAAAGCCACATCATAAGGACAATATCAATTATTTAAAATATACACATACATGCCCAGAAAAAAAAAAAAAGATAGGAAATGTACTAAACATTAACAGCCATCATCTCTGACCGGTTAAACTAAGAATGTTTTTAAACTTTGCTATATTCTTTCAGACGTTTACTATTAGCATGTCCTATCACTTCTACAAACAAAATAATGAACTTCAAATAGAGATGCAAATTAAAACATCAATGAAATACTATTTTATATCCACTAGGATGGCTATAATCAAAAAAATGACAACACCAATGTTCACAACAGCATCATTCAGAGTAGCTAAAAGATCAAACCCAAATGTCCAGCAACAGAAAAATGGATAAACAAAATGGGTACATCCATACAGTGGAATATTATTCAGCCTTACACAGGAATGAAATTTAAAGAGAATTCTGACATATGACACAACGTGGATGAAAACATCATACTAAGTGAAATAAGCCAAACACAGAAGGATGATTATTGTAAGATTCTACACATACATACACATCTACATACATATATATATGTGTGTGTGTGTGTGTGAGGTAACTACAACAGGCAAATTCATAGAGATGGAAAGAATAGAGGTTATCAGGGACTAGGGGTAGTGGGGATGGGGAATTACAGTTTAGTTGGTACAGTCTCTGTTTAAGAAGATGAAAAACTTCTGGAAGTAGATAGTGGTGATGGTTGCACAGCATTGTGAATGAGCTTAATGCCAATTTATTGTACATTAAAAGTGTTAAAATGTTAAAATTTATGATATGCGTGTTTTGCTACAATAGATTTTTTTACTCTTTGATATTTAATTTTTGACCAGGCAAATGAGTGTCCAAGTTAAACAATATATTTCCTAGGCTCTGCAGCTACGCATGGCCAGGAGACTAAATTTTGACTGATGTTGCTGAAGAGTCATGCGTAAGTTACAGGAAGTCCTAAAAGTAAAGGATGGAACGTGGACATGATGGCCCGGGCACAAATGCTCGCCTTGGACCATGGAGCAAGTACCACGTGCAGAGGTTATCTGAAGAGCGATATCAAAGGAGCCTAGCTTCCTGATGGCTCCACCCTACCATGTTCTGACTTCCTGCCTCTAATTTTTTTTTTTTATATGAGAAAGAAATATTTTTTCCTCTAGCTCTTATAGTTCATTTTCCACCAAGCAAGCAGAGTGATCCTTTTAAATTTTAATGAGATTATGTCTCGTCTCAGGTTAGGACCCAAAATGTTTTCTAATCTCACTCAGAGTAAATTACAAAGTCTTCATATTCTTCAAGGCCCTTTGTGATCTGGCCTCATCTAACTCTCTCCCTTTTTCACTGTTTCAACCTCACTGGCCCCTTCCTATTCCTTAAACAAGAGCAAGTGTGATCCTGCCTCAAGGTCTTCACATTTGCTATTCCCTTTCTTGAAATACTATGCCCTCAAAAAACCCTATGGCTAATTCTCTCACATAATTCACATCCCTGCCCAATTAAAAAACAACAACAACCATAAGTGCATTCCGTAACTATCGTAAATAAAATCACACCACATCATCACTCCACTCAAGTTCCTCTCTGCCTTACTTTTCGACTGACATATCTTTGTTCTGCTTTGTTTCTTTCTCCTACCATTGAATTACAAGGTCCAAGGGCAGGGGCTTGGTGTATAGTTTTTCACCGTATGCCCAGTGCTTAGAACAGTGACTGGAACATAGAAATTAAATATATAAATATTTGTTGAATATATGAATAAAAGATTTGTATAAAGTTAATTCTAGTTCAGTAAAGATTATAGATTATTATATAGCAAAAATAAAAACTGATGTTTTCTGTAATCTGCCTAGCCAAACAAGAAAGCCTTTGCAGTCTGAGGCCCTCTTCATGTCTGCTGGTACTATTTTGAAGCTGCTCCTTCACACACACACCAAGCTTACAGAGCACAACGCCTCACCAGCGCTGCAGGGAACCTAGCAATGCTGGTCACAAGAGAGAGACAGTGTGTCAGAAGAGGACATGGAGATACTACGGTAAGAGTTGGTCACAAGTGGGAGAAAATGGAGAACAAGGTCTGGAGACCAGATAGAATGTCTTAGTGTTGGGCTTGCTTGGAAAGATTACCTAGGGTATCAGAGAATAAATAGCGATCCAGCTCTAAATGCATTACAATTTCAGTACCTCTGTCCCATCTACTCCTTTGGAAAGAAGACTTCATCCATTCAAAAATTATGAATTGAGCTCAAGGCAGTGGGGATACAATGGTAAGCAAACACAGACACAGAGCCTGCATAGAACTTTTTGAGGTAGGAAATTGCTCCATCCTATGATTTATGATTTCATTTCTTCTGAAGTTCTATGACTTAACTAAAAAGGTTTATGCAAAAATATTAATGAGGTCAATTTTGATAACTAAATTTCTAAGATAAAAGGACAAAATAAAATGTTTTTCTTATTTTAACAAGAAAATTAAACTAGGATAAAATGAGAGGTTAAAGGTTCATATAGTTGTTTTTTAAATATGAACAAGCTGGTGAAGATGTGGAGAAACTGGAATCCTCCTCATACATACACACACAGCTGGTAAAAATGTAAAATGGTACAGCCATTGTAGAAAACAGCCTGGCAGTTCATCAAAAAGTTAAACATAGTTATCATATGACCGAGCAATTCCAATCCTAAGTGTATATAAAAGAGAAATGAGAATATATGTCCACACAAAAACTTGCACACAACTGTTCACAGCACCATTATTTATAATAGCCAAACAGTGGGAACAACTCAGATATCCACCAACTGGTGAATGGACAAACAGAAAGTGGTATGTCCATACAACGGAGTATTATTCAGCCATAAAAGGAATATTCACGCTACATGGAGGGACATTAAAGACATTATGCTACATGAAAAAAGTCAGTCACAAAAGGCCACATATTATATGACTGCAATGATATGAAATGTCAAGAGTAGTCAAATCCATACAGATAGAAAGTAGATTAGTGGTTGCCAGGGGCTAGGTGGAGGGAGATATAGGAAGTGAAAACAAATGGGTACAGGGTTTCTTTCGGGGGGTGATGAAAATGTTTTGGAATTAGATAGTGGTAACAGTTGTACAACTTTGTGACTATACTAAAAACTACTGAATTGTTCACTTTCAAAGGGTGAATTTTATGGTAATATCTCAATTTTAAAAACTCTTCATGGTTCCACTACACCACACCTGCTATTGAATACAAATAAAACAGTCCAACAGACCCAGCAAAAGACAACTTGCAGAAAGACATCTTTGCATGCTACAACACCATCCTCAAAGTTAACTTTAATAATAGGTAACAATGACCAGCTACTCTGTACCTAATGCATCACTTTACTTACTCTTAACCACCACTCTGAGGTAAGTATAATTCTTATCTGTTTTACAGATGAGGAAACAGACGAAGTAAATTGTCCAATGTTAGTCATATAGCTAAGTGTCTACAAAGCCAGGCGTTGAACTCCGTGCTCAAAGGGTGAAGATATATTCTGAAGCATTCCATGGTCTTTGCAGTATGTTGATTACCTTAAATCTGTTTTTTAAATCCTCTTTCTTGGTACACTGAGTCTCTTTCACTTGCTGGATCAAGAAAAGCATGAGCGAGTTTGTGTCACTAAACAGCATAGTCATGCTGTTTTATCTTCGGAAAACTGTAGACTTTTACACCAAGGAACAAGATTTTAACGATTTTACTTTCAATTGTTTTATATGCCCCAACACAGTTTTGCTATTTTTTAATTGGTCCCAAACTTACATCAGAATCAAGTCCAGTTTTAAATGAGCTCCATATATTCTGACTAAGACCTAGTTAGACTTAAAAGTCTAGTCAAATATCAGTAATTTGACACTAAGGACCATGGACCATTCATACATTCCCACTTTCTGGGAGATCCAAATAGTATGAGGACCACTGGGGCAAACTGGAAAATTTTTCCCATTCAATTATACCTCATAATCACATGGGGTCCCCCACAGTTGCCATGAGTTCCACATAGTTTTCAGAACTAGAGATGAACTGGGGCCAATCTGGAATACCCAGAGCCCTTATAAAGAGGTACAGTGTTGGAAAAGTAAAACAAGAAATCTACTGCCAATCAATTTCCCATGTACAGCATAAGTACTTTACATGGGCCAGCTCATTTACTATTTTAACCTCTCCATCGCAAACTGGTTATTCTCATTTTAGAGAGGAAAGGGCTCCAGAAACTAAGCAAGTTTGCCCAAGAGCTTATAAACTCGCAGAGGTGGGATTCCAACTCGGAGCTCCTCTGCATTTTCTACTATACCTGCCTCTGTTTCATAGTCAGACATTCACGAAGTTCTGAAAAAGAACTGCACTGACCTCAGCAAATTTTAAAATATTCAAATAGCAGAATCTAAAGGGCAAAATGTGTCAGAGTTTGAATCAGCCTGAGCCAAATAATCTATAAACTTGTTGGTTCTGACTCTTGCTAATATTAAAAAAGCTGTTATACTCCTTTTTCAAAGTATATAGACCTCAAATACTCACCTATTCCCCACAATTTTTGTTGTGTAAGTCAAACAGCATATGATGATCACTGAATAACTTTGAAACATTTTAATAGATTTTACTTAAACTTATAAAATAGATTTGAAGGATTGAATCCCTACGCTAAAATGAAAATTATCATCACACACAAAAATTGAAAAATATATGCTGATACCAAAAGCTCCCTGATAACAGGATGTTTTTCATCTACTGATTACCTCTCTGCAGCACTATCTATGTGAAAAATGTGCTCATCTTCATTCTGTAACCGTTCTTTTCTCCTTCTTTCAATGTCATGTCGTAGGTCATTTGGATCTATAACTTTGACCAGAGTCTGAGGAATTTTGACAGAAGACAAACCATTCACATTACTGTTAGTTGCACAAACACCATATCTAATAAGAACCTTAAGTAAAAGTCCTAAATAAGTTATCTTGTACTCATCCTAATTGCAGTGTAAACTAATAAAAATATTTTGAGATACAATTGACAATACGGAGTCAGAAAAGTTTATGACATTGAACCAAGAATCCCACTTCTGGGACTCTATCCCAAAGAAAAGGCTATCTACCCAAATATATTCAAAGTGCTATATTTAAAATAACAGCAACAAAAAACAGAAGTAACTTAAATATAAAAAACAAAGGGGAAGGGAAGAATGATTTTATGGCAAATTTAAGTCAAAGGAATAATGGACAAGCATGGAAACTGTGCTAATATAGACTATGAGGAAGTAAACATGGAAAAACACTTATTGAAAAAAAGTTAATTGAAACTTAAAAGCCTCAATCATAAAAGGTCGTGGGGAATTCAGAGATTTTTACGTAAAAGTAGTGTTATTACAGTTTAAGTAAAAAGAAAAAAGCATCAGGACTGCCTATACTATGATAGCAACTATGTTAAAATGCCAGATGTAGGACTGCAAGAAAAGATCAAACAAGATTTTGCGTTAAGTGGTTGATTAGAGGATTTTTTTTAGCCTCTAACTTTTAAAAACCCTCAAATTTCCTTTAAGTTGCGTATAGTACTTTAATGAGTAGAAATTTTCTGAAAATTTCATTTATTGAATAAACTAACCTATCTCCATAAGTTCAATAGAATTGTAACCATTCACAAGTGAAAAATTATTTATATATTCTATCAGAAATGTATGAAAATTTCCCCTTTACAAAAACTCTTTACTCTCAATGAATAAATTAGCAGCTCTTTTAGAACTTAATATACTTATTCTAAAACAAGAGCAGTTTTCTTCCGCCTTGGCTAGTTAAGATAGTTTTTTAATTAGCCAAGAAATGGGGGGGAGGGGGCAGGAGGTTTTGGGTGGAAACCACCACATACATGACAATAAAAAAAATTCAGTATTATTTCCATTATTTTGCTAGTTCATATTCCATAGAATCTTTCACACATTTTACAATAAACAGAAAGGCAATATCAAATAAAACTAAGTTCCTCTGTATTCATTCTACATATGATTTAAAAATATATTACAGAACTGCTATGGAAAAACTAGGTATCAAACATGCTTTCCGCAAGCTTTACAGTGTGAAGTTTTGGAATGAATATTAAATACTATAATTTTGTGTCAATTTTACAAAGCTGTTGCCCTTAGAGACTGTCTCTCTTAGGGAGTATTTTTGTCTTTTGTCAGTTTTCTCCCTGCAACCTGGCCAATAACTAGAATCATGTGGAGAGCTTTGTAAATTTCAGATTCCTGGGTCTCAATCCTTCTTCCTCATCTACTTTAACCCCCTTTTTATTATTCCCAATCACCAGTTCCCTTTCCCATTAGTATGCCAACAATAAGATAATCTCTCATCAAAAATTGTATTCACTTACCTGTTCTGAATCACATACCGTACTTTGTCTACTCTCAAACTCGGTCGAACATATATCTAGTCTCCTAAAATAATAAAGGCATATTATAATTAAAAAATTATGTTATACACTGATACCTTGATTCCACTACTACAGAATGGAAATTTGAAATAAAGCTAGTGTGTCTTGGAGGAAGCAAAAGAAACCTGCCACCAGATGGCTTTTCATTTATGTAGCAGTTTCCCAAGACATACATATCCTTTAAACATCACAGTGATGCTTTAGTGGTTCTCAAATCACTAGTCTGTGAAACCTTAAACTTTGCTCCAGTGATCTACTGCATTCTAACATTGATTCAACTCAGCTCACAAAACAGATGCCAGTAGCAGAAGACATACATGTTTTCATCCAGCTATTCTCAGAACAGCCATTTCTGACCACATGAAGCAACACATGATTTCAATGCCTTGAGAACTGTCTTTCATTCTTCCAGTGATAACTTCAGTAGGCAATTACTATAGACACAGCAGAATCAAAGTTAAGTAGGAAAATATTTTCAAAGTCCTACACATTTAAGCAATGCTAGTCAATGGCTTCAATACAACCTATTCCATCACAGTGCACAGGCCCAGCGCCTGCTTGGAATTGTTCTATTTTTAGGTGGGAAATCTGGTCCTAGAGTCTATAGCAAGCCCAGGAGGCAACACCTTCCCCATCTCTTCTGAGGCTTATTCCCATGGGTTAAGTGGGCATACAATAATTAATCATTACCTGTGAATTTCTGGATCTAAATTCGATTTAATTTCATTTACACCTGCAGCTTGTGTTCCTTGTATTTTCGAGAAACGCTCATGCAGAGTAATGACAGGTGACGGAAAATAATTTGCTGAAAAAAAAGGAAGTTTTATCTCAGTGTAAAACTGATTTCACTTAAAAGATTATATATAAGCACAGGAAGAAGGGATTATTTTAAAACATCCAACCTGTTTTCTCTTGAAAATATGTGGGACCTAAACTTATTCCACAGACTAATTCATAGTGCTTCCATGCTTTTTCAAGCCCAAACAATAGTAAAACACCAGATTTATGAACCCCAGGATTCTGTTCCTATTTGACATGCCTGCTTACTTGTTGGGAGAAAAGAGTAGCTCTCTCAAAGTGAGGACCTTTCTTCTCCAAGACAAGACCTTACTATATCTGGGAAGCTCTACTTGGTCTAGAGTGAAAAGTAACTACAAAAACAACCCTGAAATAGCAAAATGATTCTGAACAAATGCTAAATGTTATGTTTACATATCAGAGAAGGCCTTCTAATGCCATTTAACATTAACTGAAGTTCACAAAGGTATTCTGAAATCAGCTATGCTTTTAACAGGATAGAGAGAAAGATGATACACTTGACTCATCAGAATGCTACTTAAGCAATCTTTTCCCCTAACTTGCTATTACTGTTCTGAGACAGTCTTCTGGATGTTTCTGCAATGCTAGCTCCCTTTCTGCCAAGAATTACACTTCCTTTGGGTAAGAGGGGCTGGAGCTAAGAAGGCGAATTGTTTCAGACAAACCACATGCTTCAAAGTAAATATATGTCTTAGTTTGAGGGATGCAGAGAAAATAATACATTTTCAAAATATGTTTTATGAAGGTAAGAAAGATTTATGCAATTATCTAGCAAGAAATGTAAAAATTTTGGAATTCTCCAAGGTGTCTAATTTATAATACCCAGAATTGCCTTACTTATACAGGATCACTTAGGAAAGTTATTCTACATGACTAAAATTTCTAATTAATGGAAATTGGCCAGCAGTAAAAAGAAAACAAAACAAGTCAATGCAAACCTTTAAAGTATTTATTACGCAACTCCCTGATGTCATAAAGTATGCCAAATTGAACTAGAATCTTTTATTGATCACTTAGCATCACCCTTCAGGTATGAAGTCTATAATGCCCTCAGGGCCATTAAGAATATCACCAAATGACCCAGACTTTCGGATTTCTGAGTTTCGTATCTGGTTTTTGTCCTTTTCTCCTTCCTGTTCTGTTATCAGGTATTGTTTCTTGCTCTCAGTACACTCGTCTTTTGCAGTAGCCAATTTTTCCCTTCATAACTTTTGATTTCTAATCTGTTAATTGAAGCATCAGCTTATTGAAACTACATATACGCAACGAGGCCTAGGTGCCATGGCTACCTTGAGAGTCTAGTACTCTTTAAAATAATAATAAAAAACCCCACCTAGGCTTGAATTAATATCTGCTACTCTCTTCAACAGATTTCCTAATTAATGATCTAGCTTATAACGAATTACTATTACAATATCACAGATATTTTCCTACATCTCATGAAAAGTCAGTACATTATTTTTGTGTTATCCCTAATGTATGTGCAAAATATACCAACCTTTAATTTGATGGATTACATTTATGATTTCCTGAGCAAATTCTCCTGTAGGTTTGTTTTCAGTATTCTGAGTTGAGTCAAGATGTTCAAACACTGGATTCAAGTTCTCAGTTTTCTTGCCAACAGCAACCAAATCATGTGACATCTGTCTCTCTGTCTTGCTAGAAGCAACTCTAGAATAATTTGTAAATGTTGAACTAAATTTGAAAGTGTTTTACTGAGGAAAAAACTTACTAAAAATTAATCAAGATAGCTATACAACTAAAAAGATGTTTATCTTTTCTTATAATTAAGGCAATAAATTGTATGCCATAAAACATGTACAATGATAAGTAGAAGAAAATAGTTACAGATGCATGGCTTTGAGTTCTTTTCAAATCAGAGATCATTAAATATTTGCCACTTTAATAATAAGATCCCCAAAATCCTAAATTAAACACTTTTTACTTTAAAAAATTTAGCAAGGCATTAAATACACTCCATATGCAAAAAATAATCAATTAGATTATTTTCTGCTCCAATATCCATAAAATTGTAAATCCAGTAAGCTTACAGTATCTTAAAATACTATCATACTTTAAAAGCTGATATCAAACATAATAATTTCTCTGACTTCACAGAAATCCTTATATCTCTATATCAGTAATGAGAAGCTTAGAATAGTATTTTGAAATCAAATTCTGTCTAGATTATTTTAATCACTTAGAAAGTCTCACTACACTCTCAGAAAAAAGTCTCAGTTGTCAGCAAAGTTATGATTAGAACTAATTATAGTGTTTACCCTAAATATATCCTTAAAGAAATGCTACCATTTATAATACAAACCCAGCTATCTTATAACTTTAATGCTTTCTGAATCTTTATAACTTTCATTGAGAGCTCTCCTGACCTTTAGGTACCATTACAAAGCTATTATTTTGACATATAGCTAACACTTATTGAGAGCTTACCGTATGCCAAACACAGGGGCTTAGAGCTTACAAACATGATCTCATTTCATCTTTACAATAGCCCTATGGGGAAGGTGTCATGGCACCAAGACAATGGATGTCTAAATTGTTTTGTTTTACATCCCAGAGGTCAACCCTTCATATGAGCATAATCCTTCCAAGTGTCCTAATGGGAAATTATACCTTATTCCAAGAATTCTGCTCTTGCTTAAAACTACTCTTAAATTCTTCATCTGGAAGCAGTTTATGAGTCACAGAAGAAAATGTCTCATTATTTAATCTTTATACCTCATTTTGAACCCAAAATGGCACTAACCAGCTTACACCCATTTTACTCCTCTGCACTTAACTCTAAACAGCTTTTGGTTTTTGCCAAAAATAAAGTTCACTGTCCAAAGAATTGAGATTTACAACTGCTAGGGTTCTTTATGAGTATGTTATAGGCTCTGAAGATATATCCAAGAGAGAAACCTGAAATATGTTTTAAATAACAGCAGCACAGCTCCTATCTTCTTGGTTGGCACCTTCTCCATCAATAAACCTCTCCTTACTCCAATAAATAAATAAATAGATAAATAAATAAATCAGCAGCACCACTGGATAAAGTGATACTTCTTCATATAACAATAACCAATCAGATGGATACATTTGGGGGTGTGTGTATACATGTGCACAGATTTACTTAAGTCACATAAGAGCCATATATCCAAAACTACTCCAGGGTTATGAGTGGCTTACCGATGTTCATTTTTTTAATCCTCACCCAAGGGTATATTTTTATTGATTTTTAGAAAAAGAAGGGGGTGGGAAAAGAGAGAGACACACACACACACATCAATTGGTTGCCTCCCATACACACCTTGAACAGGGATTGAACCCACAACCTGCATATGTGAGCTGACCAGCAATTGAACCCACAACATTTTTGTATACAGGACAACACTCCAACCAACTGAGCCACCCAGCCAGGGCCATATTCTTTAAAATGTTCACTCCTCTAACAAGATGGCTTTAAGTGCCTATTTTTAACTTATCAGAGGAAAGGCTTCCATCTGCCTTTCGGTGCTCCCTGCTCCTAAACCAGCACTCTTGAAACAACTTCCTGCCAAGGCAGAAACATGGAGAAGTGACTTAAGTAAATCTGTGCATATGTATGGTAATAGTTGAGAACATGACTCTATTGAGGTTAGCATTAACCACCTTTGTTTTATGTATACTTCATAAGTCCATACATAATTTAATCCAACCCCACAAAACTCTTCCACAGCTCATTAATCAATAAATAATTATAATGAAAGAGTTTGTTGAGCATGATGCTTTATCATACTGAAAAGATGCATATATTTATTAAGTTATTCATTCTTCAGGTTTTCGAATAGAAAGGATTTGCAGTGGAAGCTTTTTATTGTACAAGCCATCTTTCAGGTCCTTGTCAGGTAATTCAAAGATGCTGACAGGTCCCACTGACAGGCCATGAAATTTCACAAAATTATAGTTTGTAAATTCAAACAAAAGATACAGCAACCTCAATTTTAGGAAGCTTACTTTTGTGACATATTATGAAGACCGAGCTACTATTTCTAAATATCAAATTGTAAAATTAACAGTGTTCAGTATCTTTAAAATAAAAACCCTTCAAAATTGCTATTTCTAGCACTCTTTAAAAGCACTACAGCCAATTTATTCTCTTTTAAGTATAAAACATTTCATTATTAAATGTGGAGGTATTGTTAATTTTACAGAAATTCAATATATTTTTTGCAATTTGATTATGCATCATTTTACCTCAAAAGAATAAAACTAGAAACAAAAATTATATACTGAATTATTTAAAGGGAAATGTACTGATATCTGCAATTCACTTTGAAATGCACTGAAAAATAAGATGGAACAACAGATGAATAGATGGACAGATATGTGATTATAAGAGAGTAAAATGTTAATTGTAGACTCTAGGTGGTGGGTATATAGGTGTTCACTGTACAATTCTTTCAACTTTTCTGTAAATTTGAACATTTTCATGATATAATGTTGAAAAGAAAAAAGCTTAACATCCCTAAACTTGATGCTTACAGCAGCCTTTGTGCTCTTAAAATTAAGAACTAGTAGGAAATATAATAGCACAAAATAATTTAAGACATACTATATGAAATAGGATGCAAAAGTATTAATACTGTATTATGACACCCATGTGAAATACACACAGAGAAATAACAAGAGGAGCTGTACTAAAATATTAATAAAATTGTCCTAGGGTAGTAGGATTGAGTTATTTTCCCACCTATATTTGTCTTTCTAGAATTGTATTTGTAAATGTTTTCCATAAACATATAAATATACATATGTATACTTAAAATATTTTTGCAAGTACAAAACAAAAACAAAAACAAAAAAACGAGGAAGGGGGCTGCCATACCCAACTTTAAGAAAAAGAACAAGATATATTTTGTTTAAAAAAAAAAGGATTTTGGGTTTGCCTAACTCTGTCACATTCTAAGCATGGATTTTGTTTTCTCTTGTTTTTGATTCAAATATAGATACATCAAATGTGAACATAAATGTACCAAATCAACATGGTCCATCACTTTTTATTCACATACTGGTACTGTATTAAAGTAATGAACAGACTTTAGCTGACACAGCCTACTGCAGTGCCTTATTCTTCTCAGAATTCATAAAGAGAGGTAATATTCATAATGCAAGAATGCACACAAAGCACTTTAGGAGAATATAACCTAGTATGACTAGTCTATTTTTCTACAAAATCATTAGGAGCTAAACCAAATGTTTTATAAATAGGCCTCTTTCTATACTCTAGCTTAATTTCCTCTACTTAGGAGAATCTAGTAGGTTGAGCCCCAGCCTTTTTTTTTTTTTTACTATATCTTCTTTATTGATTTCAGAGAGAGGAAGGGAGAGGGAGAGATAGAAACATCAATGATGAGAGATTCATCATTGATCGGCTGCCTCCTGCACGCCCCCAACTGGAGATGGAGCCCGCAACCCAGGCACGTGCCCTGACAGGGAATCAAACCGTGATCTCCTGGATCCTAGGTCGATGCTCAATAGCTGAGCCACACCCCGGTGGGCAGTCCCAGACTTTTTGAGATGGCAGCAAGAACCATATTAAGTCACCAGCTTCATTGCATCACAAAGGGTCACATGGATTTGAGACCCAGGCACTCCTACCTAAGTCGCTCTTCTGCTCTATAAAATCAGGGCCTACTAAGGTCGCTTCCAGGTGAAAAATTCTCTGAATCTCGGGCAACAGGGAAAACACTCTGAGAAACTAAGCAAGGAAAAGATCTCCTTAAACTCCACCCAGCCTATCCCTGGATACAGAAAATCTGGCAGCATAACAACATGCAAATTCATGAAGAGGAAAAACTCCATAGAATACTCTGCCCCTAAAAAGCATCTGAAGATTCAACATGGAAACAAGCAGACATGAGATCAGCCCATATTACTAATCATGAGATTCATCCTCTTTACAAGGCTTTTTTGAAAAAAATCTAGGCAATCCCTCACCCTTAATGGACTCTAAACACAGTATTAATTTCATTTTCAAAGCTTCTAATAAAGGTGGCAAAAACAGTTATTAAATATCATTAAGAAAAAAACAATGATAATACCTGGATGTATTTACTGTTTTCTTTGAATCTACTTTAATTATAAGTGATTTCTTCCTAAGATTAGGAGATGAAGGTTTCACATCAGAAGGTTTACTTTCATCAAGTTGATTACTGGAAGAGGTGCTCTCTCTTCTCGCTTCTCTTTCTCTCTTTACTTTCTTCTTCCGTTTGCCATTATAGGGTCTCAAATCATCATCACTTTTATTTGAATGAGTAGAGGCAGTGCAGTCTTTCTTAGGTGGTTTAGAAGCTTCTTTAGCTTGCCCATCTTCATTCTCTCTCTCTCTTCCAGCATCAAAACAACTGGACTCTCTATTTGCAGAGCCATTTTGAGAAGTGTCTTTTTTATCTTCTTCCTTAGAGTATTTCTGTGTTCTTCCATCCGAAAAGTCCTGGTCCCCATCTGAGGTCTTACGACGTTTGCGGCGACGGTCCCTGGATACCCTGGTTGCTGAACTGCTCTCTGGGGATTTCCGATGAGCACGTCGATGAGAGTGGTGTCTATGGTTCCGCTGATCTCTCTTTTCTTGGTAAGGTGAAAGACAATGCTTGGACTTCCACTGTGAGTTTCTGGAAGGCTCTCTGTTTTCATACCTTTCCATACCTGGAGATCTTTTTGATGTATGTTCATATTTTCTGTAATCATGATCCTCAGGATACCTGTGGTGACATAAAGCAGTTTACACTTGCACTACAGAGAAGAAAGTGAGAACTTCTATGTGTGGAGTGTTGGGCAGCATCGCTTTAAATGCAGAATGCAGTGGTAAAGTTAACCTCTACTCCTTCAAGCCAAATCACAGAGGCTCCAGGTAAAGAGGAAATACCATTTTATTTTTAAATATTCTAGCCATCTACATGATTTACTCTAAAAAACAAATACTTCCCTACTACCAGTAGACATAACTACATTATAACTACTTTTTATTTTTTCAGATAAAAACTTTTCAAGGTGGTTATCTTTAACTATAAACACCTTTTCACTTGAGGTTTTATACCCAATTACCCAGGTTTAGTTTATCCTATACCTTGTCTGAAAAGAGCTCCTTCTCTCAAAATCTTCAGAGCCTCTTCTAAGTGATTGAGAATATTTTTCATCTTGTAACCTCTGGTAACTCAACTCATCTTCATACCACTCTCCTTCAAATCTAAAAGACTCTGCTATTGACCTCTCAGGTGATGTCCCTTCTTTTCCACTCCTTCTAACTCTGTCATCATCAGGAATATACCTTTCTTGCACTTGCTGAGGATAACAATTCCACTGATAATCTTGGTAGTGTGCACCTCCTGAGTATCTGGACATATACGGAGTTCTATCATCCCTTCTTGGTGAATATAGGTGGTAAGGCTCATAAGAATAAAAATTGTCTAAAGAGCTGCTTCTTATGCTTGGAGAAGGTGATCTATGTTCATAACATTGGTAATGTGTATCTTCACGAGAAGAAATCCTTGGTTTACTCTGTCCATGTTCCTTATCATTCATTCTCCAAGCGGATCTTTCAAGATCCTCCCTATAGTCGGAACAATAATACTCATGAGAATATCTTTGCTTGTAGTATTCAGGCTTTCTAGGTACTGGTGATGAAAACCTATGTAAACAAACACAAAAAAGTTTAGCTCATTTAAAGTCAATAAATTTTGTCTTAACATGACTTATCAAATAAAAGATTTGTTTTCTACTGTTTCTTCAACTCAAATTCATGAATTTGCCATATCTGCATTCTAAATTGTCCATGTGCGGGTCTGATTATGCTTGCCCCAATTAAACAAGCATACTCTTTCCACCTGAACTAATGTATCCCATGTGCATATTAAAAAGGGCTGAGGACACCCGTCCTGTTGGAGGAAGACCAGCTTAGTTACACAGCAGGATCCATTTTGGAAGATTGCTGACAGCAAAGTTCTGACAAAAGGACTGGTAAGAGCTTACATCAGGTTCAATGGTCAGGTAAGAAAAAGGCAGGACACCCTGGCCAGGTGGTTCAGTTGGCTGGAGCATCATCCCTAACACCAAAAGGTTGTAGGTTCAACTTCTGGTCAGGGCACATACCCAGACTGCAGGTTCAGTTCTGTCAGGGCAAGTATGGGAAGCAACCGATTGATGTTTCTCTCTCACATTGATGTTTCTTTCTCTCTCCCTTCCTCTCTCTCTAAAATAAATAAAAACATATCCTCAGGTGAGGATTAAAAAATAAAATAAAAGAAAAAAAGAAAAAGGCAGAAGGAAGGCTGGATTCATACAAATAAATATGTGGGAGAATCTCTGGCAAACTGAACACAACCTTGAAATTAAATTAGAGTCTAAGAGTTTGATGCCACATAAACTCAAACTCAGACCCAAAACTGACCCCATAGCTTCTCCAATTGTCTATTCTCTCTACTAAGACTATCTTAAGGAGCAAAAAAATGCATACTTGAACATTGTGTGTAGGTGGGGGAAGAAAAGGGTCTTAAGACTTGACTCTCATGCTTGGATCCTCCATAAATACTACTAACATAGGTAAATTGCTTTTCCTTCCCAGACCTATTCCCTTACACATAAAATAAAAGATGTGTTATTGAAAAACAGCTTGCAACTTTGGTGAATGTGTATTTTTATGTTGCTATAATGCTCTCCAGAGACAGCACATCCTTTCTGTAACTCCCTTCTCAAACACCTCAGCATTGTCAACATCAAGCCTTTCATTCCCAGTGAGGAGGAAGACTTCTGTATCCAGATAAACCAGTCTGAGTTGTCTAGACTTCAGGATAAGAGAGAGGAGCGCTACTATCTGGAACACAATGAAGTTCAATTTTGCATCTGGGGAATGTTTCCTCCCATCTGACCTGTGCAATTTCCCCACCTCCTCCCTGAGGGTTTAATATCTTCTAATCAATGAAGCTGCGACTCTTGCAGCTTTTGTTATCTATCACTCTGTCTTCAGGTGCTGCCCCAGAGTTGGAACAACCATGAGTAAAAATTCTTTCCATTTGGTGACCTGCATACTTCTGACAAGAAAGGAGGCAGATTTAGGTTCCTCACATACATACTAGGATTTTTTTAAATGTATCTTTATTGTTTAAAGTATTACAGATATCCCCCTTTTTCCCCCACTGACCCCCTCCACCCTGCTCCCACCAGGCCTTCACCACACTATTACCTGTGTCCATACACTTACACAATGGAATACTACGCAGCTATAAAAAAGAAGGATCTCTTACCCTTTGACACAGCATGGAGGGACCTGGAGAATATTATGCTAAGTGAAATAAGCCAGTCAGAGAAAGACAAGTATCACATGATCTCACTTACATGTGGAATCTAATAAACAAAATAAACTGACATACTGGGATGTATATACTGGACAAGGCAGTATCTCCCTCTAAAATCACCAAACTACATATACTGGTGTGATATTTAGCTGAAGCAGAAGCTGTCTCCCAGCTGGCTGCACCTCATCAACACAGGAATAAGCAACTGGGGCCTCTGAGGACTTCCTGGAAGATGGCATCTCTTCCACCACTAGGGAGAAAAGCTGGCAGCCAGAGGCTGAGGTCTTCCAGACTGGACAAAACAGTCAATCTCTCACTTTAATCCATACTTCACTTTGAATACACTTTGATATTATATTTCACTTCAGGGTTTTATTGTATAGAGCCCCTTTCTTCTGAAGGAGATTGCTGAAATGGTTGCTATAATTTTCAGTTCTCCTAAAGGGAAAAAAGAAACCCAAAGAGTCTGTTGGGAGACAATTCTCTTTGGGTCTCTCCCACTCTGCACACCTTGTAAGCAGAGGCACTGACAGCTTTCATTCCAAGACAAACAGCCTGGAAAGATGGAGCCAGGGCCTCCCTCAGGGGCAGAGGGCCGATTTGTCTGCTATCCAGGATAATAAGATAATGTCTCCTCCAAGGCCAAAGCCCCTCATGGGACTTGGGTTCCTCAGCTATGTTGTCACCCCACTGCTTCGCTGTCCTGCAGCACCCGCCCTCAGGGGGATGGCAGTGAGGGGAACACAGGAACATGAAGCTCAGCCTGCCTGCTGTACTATGAGGAGTAAAGACCTTTGCCTCTGCTCCAGGAGGGCCTTATGACAGGCTAATGTGTCAACTTGCAAGAAGAGTAAAGTATCAGACTCCTTACGGTTTTCAGGGTCCTGAGAAGGAATCCAGAAACCAGGCACTAAGCTTGGCAGGCTCTTTTGTGCCCCCTCACCAGGGCCTACCACAAAAGGGTGACACAAAATGACCTCTGTGATGCCCTCTATGTTAAAATCATTCGTTTCTTTACATTCCCCATTTTTGAAACTCCTCCCCATTAAAATTTGGTCTTATAAACTGGAAATTAAAATTGTTGAAGAAATGACTGATTAGTCATTGTAGAGCCACAATGGTCAAGTCGTATTACCATGAAAAATCTTTGTCTGCCTTTTGTGTATGTAATTATGGTCCTTTATATGAATCCTAGAACATACCAGTGACTTTCACAGCTCTGTGCCTTTGTTCCTGTTGTCCCCCATAACTGGAATATTTTTCTTCTCTCTTTCTGCCTTTAGAAATTCTACTCATCCTTTAATGGCCAGCTAAAATCTCATTGCTTCTTTGAAGACTTTCTTAGCATCTGCATTTCCCATCCACAAAAGCAGAATTATACCCTCCCTGTGGATCCAGAATACTCTGTCTCAGTAAGTAGCACCACACTTTTCCCACCATCTTATTTATGCATTCATTGGTTGAGTCTTGCATGTGCCCTGACCAGGGATCGAATCCGCAACCTTGGCTTATCAGACGACACTTTAATCAACTGAGCTACCCAGCCAGGGCCCACTGCGCTTCTTTTTATTATGGATTAATTCTAGCTTCCAGCTGTAATTAAAGAAAGCTGTCAGCTCCTAGAAATACAACCTCTATCACTTTAAAGCACCTACTATGAATAACCAGGTCCCATGAGCTCATTAAAATAGGTTCTTAATAATACTGGTGAATCCAACCTTGCCGTACTACACTAAGGATTGCTCACCTGTGTTTCCACCCAGGGGATCTAGAGCGTGACCGTGTCATCCTTTGACATGTGAGCCACTATCCACTTTTTATACTGCAAAGAAATACAATATTAGCACGTTTGTAGAAAGAGCCTGCAATCTGCTCTAAAAACAGTGAATGCCACCGGCAAAAAAATTACTTAAGCTCTCAGTGCCTCAGTTTCCTCATCTATAAAATGAGGATGATAATAATCAGACCCATATTATCACAATATTGTAAGGATAAAATGAATTAAATCAGGGATGAGCAAACATTTTCTGCAAAGGGCCAGATAGTAACTATTTTAGGCTTTGTAGGCCACACATGGTCTCGGTACATTTTCTTCTTCTTCTTTTTAAACATCCCTTTAAAGATATAAGAACCATTCTTAACT